TGGGCGCTTATGTTGTAGAAGAGCCCTCATTGTTCCTCATTGTTTGCTGGTAGTAACTGCCTCTGCAGTAAGATAATCTAACCATAGCTAAGATGGGGGCATTTAGGCCCAATATGTAATTTACACAGGAAGTTGTTATGTAACTACCACTATTTGTTAAAATATAACTATATATAAATTCTGTAACAGTAAACTAAACCAGTAACCCATTCTTTCTACAAACATATGGTACTTTAGGCCTTAACACATTACTTATGTAGCTGAAATAGTCTGTATTCTAGAAATTAAATTAGAGGGGCTGTTGCATGGAATGTTTCTTAGTGGTTACTGCACCCAGCTAAAAAGTGGTGTCAGGGATCTTGCATGTGGCTGTAAATCGGTAATCGATAAACTGCTGCATTCGTGTGGGCACCTGCATGTGAGGGTCTCTGGGATCAGGAGCAGGACTGTGGGTTCACTTACGTTTCTGTATACAAAATCTTAGCTATGTGTCTGTGTACTGGATGGGTAGTCCTGCCTGTAGCTTACATACAAAAGATACGAAGGTAAATTTACTAAATTTTGCTTTATCATGGGAAGAGTGTGTATGTTTTGATGAAGGTTATGTTTTAGCTGTGTATGCTGTGTATTATATTATCTAGCAAGTTGTGTTCTCCTTTGGGAACATGTGTTTATATAGGCGTTTTAAAGACTAAATGGACTATATAAATGGTGATAACTGATTTTGTTTTAAGACAGGTTAGTAAGAGTCAATTTTTTATTTCTTGTGTCAACAAATAAAAACGACAGCTGTTCTGAAACAAACTCAGAAATATCCTTCTTTAGCTGCCTTCCAGCAAGTGCATAGTTTGCAATTTGGTGGGTAGTGGAGCAATTTTCCCTCAGAAATATTAACATTCAGGGAGGGAAGGAAGGAATGGGCAAAAACTTGTGTAAGTACAGCAAATCTAAATTCAAAGGATCAGCGTGTGTGTGTCATGCAGGATCATTAGGAGAGCCTGGCCTTTCCGAGCAGATCACCATTTGAAGATCTCTGCTTCATCAGTGGGACTGAAGGCTCAGCTGTTACTCTGCTATTCCTATATGTCAGCCTTACAGAGCAAGATTGAATTTTATCTACAGGCATAAACCTAGAGTCATACTAACCTGTGATAGACAAGCGATGAAGCCTCTCCCTCTCGTGGAGTCCATCAGAATCTAAGTTTCAGAAGCTTATTAAGTGGCTAAATTCATCTTTACCAAAGAAATGCCTTGCTCTGCTTTTGTGCTCCGCTACAGTTGGAAAACAATGGTTTGTTTGGTCATGAGCAACTGTTCGCTGCTGCCAGCAGTATTTGAAAATGTGGCAAAGAATTTGCATATTCATGAATTAAAGCCTAGTATAATTTTTATAAGAAAACACCAGGCGTTTAACAAAAGCCTTCTATGCACAGGGAGCTGGAGTGCGGATTTGCTAATGGGATGTGAAACTCGCTGTCCACAGAAGTTGTCCACATGTAGCTTGTGGAGGTGCACATTTTGTGCGTGTCTATATTTATATGCAGTCTAAAATGTTTTATTTTATTGAAGAGGCTGAGACCAAGGCAGGTGTATCTCCTGCTCTTGTTTGCTGTTGGTCAGCCCTTGTTTTCCTACAGGGAATGGTGAGAACCCTGCGGCGACAATGCTGGATCGTACCACATTTGCTGGGACATCTTGAGTTTATTTAACCTTTCCTGTAAATCACTGAATTGCCTTGTGTTTCATTAACTTGATTTGTAATGCTGTAATGTATTACTGCGTTTAGTTGTTACCTCTTGGAAGACATTTTACGAAGCAAGGAAAATATTTATGATTAAGCATGAAGGAGGAGTATGTAAGATGTTTATATTTTCCATTTATCAGTACACTTCAGAGTGCTGCTTTCTGAAATTGTAATTCTGGACTTCATATTAACTTTCACTGAGACGGTTTGTGCTGTATAAGATTGCTAATTCTGCTGCCATATCCTTTATACACTGAAACAAGAGGAATTTGCTGCTTTTTAAATTGGGGCCAAAGAGTAAATTCACTCTATTTTTATATTCAGGCCAGCTCAGCTTTAGGGGATTTAAGTGATGTAATTGTATTGTATTCGGCCCCACAACTAGTCCAACTGAAAAAAATAATCTTCAAAGTGAATATTTTAGTGCCTCATGCAAGGCACATTGCTCAGTCTCTTGGGGGGAAAAAAAGTAAAGGTTTCCTTGTATTTGTGAACCGTCATCCATTGTTGTACATGTTTTCTAAGCTTCTGTACAAACACTAACTGCACAAAAATTAAAGAGCGCTAGCTACTGCGTCCTTGAAAAATTAAGTTTTATTCCTGGTTATAATAAGATATCATGGGATAAAGTCCTTAAAATAAAGGAAGGTGCATAAAACCAGATTCCTAAAAGTTTATATGATAATATTTCAAAATAAAAATATATTCCTCGGGAAGAAAATGCATCAATTTGGAGACTCACTAACAGCGCAAGGACTGACATTTTGTCCTTTTACGTTTATGTTTGTTACATTTCCATCTGACTGGACCAAAAATGTTGTTTCGGTGTCTCTTGACATTTATCAGTGAGGATATTTTTGAATAAGCCTTGGGTTTTGGTTTTGTTTCTGGTGTGGGTTGGGAGTGTTAGATGTATTTTGCAGGGCGGGAGGTTTGTTACCCAGTGCCCATAGCTGAATTAAGGATCTTTGAGAGAAGCTGTTGAGCTTTTCCTCTCTCAGTGTTTCCCCCAAGGTGAACCGTGTTGCTGCCAGCTCCCATCTTCTCTTTCGGGGTGCTGAGCTCTGTGTAGGTTGCAGAAGATAGTTCAGCCTTTTAGGCATTCTCTCCTTGGAACTGCTGGTAGATTTTGTTTTGGGAGAGGGAAATGACATGCTTACCATAATTCAGTATCAAACAGCTATTCACTTAAATTTCTGTGTTCAACACCGCCCTAGTATATGGATTTCAGGGGGATAATTGAGCCAAATGCCTTTTCAGCTAGAGCTGATGCATAACTAACTCAGCAGACAGTTTACATCCCTCTTGTCTCTGGAGGCATCATTGGTGTGCCCATTCTGAGAACGTCTGAGGTTTTTTGTACTTGAAATTTTGATCTTTTCAGTCCTCTGTAGTAGAAATTTAAATCCTACCTGGTCTTTTTGCCAGTTGAATTTAGATGGGGAAAAGAATGTTCATTTTGGTTGTGTTGTTTTTTTTTGCTGTATAATTTTTATTGCCTTGTAAATGAATGGAGAATGTGGTAACTTAGATTACTATACAGATATGCTTCCCCCCACAAAGGAGTTTAGAAAATGGAATTGCTGAGGCAGTAGAAATAAAGCACATCTGTGCAGGTGTGATGGATGCTCTCTAGCAAATTTGAAGAAAATTTGCACACAGTTTTCTAAGAACACAAAACCAAAATCCCTAAACAATTATCACCAAAAATGTGATACAGGATTTTGTTCTGTTTTGCTTTAGTTTCTGTTGGGTAAGAAAGGTATTTTCCTTTTTCTGTGAGGAAAACAGCAGTCTCCTTATGTCTCAGTTATTCCGTCAGTTGTGAGTAAGGTACGAAAATATTTTTTTTTTTTTTAAATATGCATAATGAAAAAACTGTAAAAGTAAACAGTAATATACTTATTCAGGACTTGTGGCATCTCTTTGATCTCTTTGCTAATAGAATTACCCCGCGCTCCTACACGGCAAACAGATGCTTTGTGACGATGTAGGATTATGTTCTTTGTCCCATTGTCAAAGTCTGGTATGAAAACCACAGAAAAGGATGTGAATACTGTAACTTTGGGCTTGGCAGCTTCCTGACCTTTATAAAAGGCTTGCTCAGTGCTGTAATAGCTAGTTCAGTGCTGGCAAGGTGACAGACTAGATGAATTAGCTGGTCTTTTCCATCTCTTATGTGTCAGATTCTTTGTTTTATATGGAAATAATTTCTGTCAAAATGGGAAATTTATCATGAGGTACTTCCTCTGACTGTAAAATGAAAATGTCAACCACAGGTCTATTTGAATGTGTCTTCTGTTCCAAACCACTGGTGGAGCCAGCTTTGTCCATTGATACCACCATTGTGTTCCCCTGTGTTTTAACAGTCAGGCAGCTCCACTGACCTGTGATAACAGAAATGTGTAATAGAAAGTTAATAACGCTGCCTGATTGTTTTAGATGTGAGGAATCACGTCAAAATTTCTGAAATATTTGCAGGTCACTGGAATTTTTGTCAGCAATTTGTCAATATGGTGTATGTGTCTGTTTTTTAGATGTGTGTGTATATGTGCATGTACATAAAGTATTATATGTACATTGCTATTGATATACTATGATGTCTTAAGAAACCCAAACTGATTTCTATATGTGTATTAACTTTAAATATGTCAGAGGTTGTTAATATGAAATATCTCTGCGTAAAGATTTAACATCTGTCGTTAGTTTAAAGGCTGAATAGATATTACAGCATTATGGGTTTCTAATAGATTAAGAAGGTACCATATGTCACGCATTACCCTGCTTTGCATTTTGATATATGTCAAACAGTGAATAATCCTACATCTTGCCTGAGAAAAGATGGCACTGGGATAATTTTTTTGTTTGTTTTTAGTGGGAGAAGATGATCATGCTGAAAGGAATGAATTTAAATATTGGGGGGGCAATATACTTCTAAAGGTGTTTAAAAAAAGGGGGTTATATAGCGGGTAGTAAACCATTCATGTCAACACAGACTTTGAAGATGGAGGTATTGTCAGAAGCTATGAATGCTGTGTTTAGGTATGCAAAATTCAATAAGAGAAAACGAAAATAACTCTAGTCTTCTATTCCCTTCTTCAAAGTATTGCTAAGGGAAGTTTGGCAGAAGCTGGGACAGGAAATTGAAATCTGAATACTATTTTAAACTGATAGGGTTAAAGGCCTCTCTTTTACACTAGCACACTTGTTCTTTTATTTGATACTTGAACTCTGAAAATTTTCTGTGACTTTCTAGGGAGAAGGAGGAGCAGTTGACTCGGGTGACAGAGGTACAGAGGCTGCAGGCCCAGCAGGCAGATGCTGCCCTGGAGGAGTTTAAGCGGCAGGTGGAGCTGAACTCAGAAAAAGTCTATGCTGAAATGAAACAGCAGGTGAGAAGGTCACAATGCCAGCCTTTCTGAAACTCTGTCTCAGTAGGATAGCATATTCTGATCTTATAATGCCAGAAACATGCTTCACTTGAGAGTGCTACATCAAAATCTTTCACAATGTAGTGTCTTTGCTAGCAAGTCAAAAAGGGATGTTAGCGGTTGTTTCATCTTTCTAACAAAGCCAGAATTGTCATTGTTATAAAGATATCTGCAGTTATGATACTGATTAGGGATTTTTCAAGAGGGAGAGTATAAAGTGTTAGTTTATACACCCCTATGGAACAACGTTTGTAATTTTCTACTTAAATGTATGTCTCTTCCTACTCTTTTCAGAACGACTCTGTCTTCCGTTAATGAGGTCTTGTAATCAGTTTGAGCCTAAACAGGGGCAGAGCCATTGTGGCTGCTGACAGTCATGTGCAAAGGACAGAAAAATACATTTTTCTGTGCCTGAAAATTAATAGGAGGACTTTATGTAAAAAGATTTTAGTGTCTTAAGTTTATTGTGGAGCAAACAATAGTTAAACCATTATCCCTGGGATTTTACAAATGCAGCACAATGAATGAAATAAGGAACAAGTGACAGGCGATCAAAAGGAAGGGGAAAAAAAGGGAGTAATTCCCTAACATGCTCATGGATTTGAAATCTCTCTACATATTTCATGCTTTTAATTCTACCTGGCCATATACTGAGTTTTCCAACCTCACTTATCATAACCAAACCTTGCTGTTGACAGTAGGATGCTGCAATCTGATACTGTAATGGGTTTCTAAGGATGCTGGCTTATAATTTAACAAATTTGCTTTGTTGTTTTCGTGAAGTCTTTTTTCTGAAAATCTTCAACAAAAGTGAGAAATTAGGTAAGGCATTACTGATATTTTTAAGACCCATGCAGACAGCACATAAGTGAATTCAGAAATTTAAAAAAACAAGGGCAAACTTATAAATGCAAGGTTTGTTCAGCAAACTAGACCCGTGAGGGCAATGCGACAAATCCTACAATTTTATTCTGACGTTTTCTGTGCTGTGAGACTCTCCTTCAACTTCTTCATGATGACTTAAAATAATATCTTATTTATGCTTCAAAAAAGATATAGTCTAAGTCTAGAAAGACTAATAATGGTTTCATTCACTTAAACCCATCAAACAAAACCAATCCAAAACAAAGAAGTGTACAAAAGAATTGGCAAACTTAGTCAATTGTCTTTTTAAAATGACTTTTTTTTTTTTTTTTTGAATATTGCTGTCTTCCAGGAAATTTTGAAAATAAATTTTGCTATACTACAAGAATCAGCCATGGGTTTATTCTGTCCCTACTTGTATGTGAAAATATAGAAATAGTAAATCAGATTGTATGGTTGAACAGTACTGTTCTGTAGGAACTGAGGTTCAAGGAAATATATCACAGCAGCACTGCTGAAGCTGTCTTCATATCTTTGTCCTTTCTCATTCTTCTGCATGCACATACTGTTTAGATAAACTACCCATTAGATTGTAACATATTGGAAGATTCTACTTTTTGTGGTTAGAAGGAATGTATCACAGCTACTACAGTTTTTGTTTTATAACAATGCTGTACTTTTAACTACGCTAGAAATATTGGGCTTCTAAAACCATTTTTTGGTGTATGGTATAGTTAATTATGGACTTAAGTAGGATGGTGTCTGGCATTTTCAGTTTTTGTAATCAATATTTTATTCATTAGTTTGGCTCTGATATTTTTTTTGCCATCTGCTTCCTCTTTTGTCAGGCTTGTGATTATTAAGAGTCGTCTGATGCCCTTTGATGGATGAGTGGTACATTTTTAACTCTAAGATCTTCATTATCTCTAGTAGTAATTAGCAAAAAGAGAAGCAACACATAGACTATGTCTTGATACTTTAGAACTAGTGTTTCCTGGGTTTGGCAAATAATGATCAAGACCCCTCGTTGCACTTGTAGGAAATATATGAATGTGACCTAACGAATAAAGCACGAAAGCCAGTAGAGTTAAAGCATCTTTGCATATGTTTTTACGATTTCACTTTTTAGAACGCTTTTATTATTTTCCTTTAGTAAAGGACTTTTATTTTTAACAAGATCATTTATTTTTCTGTTTTTTATTGAGCTGAGTGCAATATGGCTATGGACATGCAATTTGAGTAAGTTTGGAGGTGGAAGAAATTATTCATTGAAGACCTTTTTCTTAATGGCAGATAGAAGCAGTGAGGTTCAAGAGCTACTGGAAGAATAACTTGTTCCTTTCTATTCTATTTTTCCGCTTTCTATCTGGCCAACTATTTCTAGTCCTATATCGTCCTCTCTTGCTGCGGTGTTTTTGAGTAAAATGCTTTTCCCACTCTGAGTACTGCCTTTCCTCTTCTTTCCCTGGCTTAGACGTGATGTCCAGGCCGATTGGCGAAGACATCTGTTGAAGACAGAGCACTCCCTTAGGCCAGGCAGGATTTTGGCTTGTGCTTCAGGAATTCACGTGTTTCTTCTTTCAGTGCAGCAGATGGACTTGTGGCAGCACTGGTCCTCCTGACAGCTAAACCCCTGTTCTATTTTTTTTTTTTTTTTTTTTTTTTTACGGAGACCATTTATTCACTGCTTGTGTTGGGACCTAGATCTAAAAGTAATTGATAAGTATGCACTGCAGTGTGTTACTCTGTGTGTGTTTGTATATATATATTTATATATATAAATATTCATTCCCCTGGAAACATGCCTGATGTACAGCTAACAGTTGTGCTTTTGATACAAAAGCCTTTGTTAATTGAGTTATGAAATTGCTTCCTTGATGCTATGTGCTGGAATCTGTGGGAGTCATTATTCACAGGTGATGACTATCTTCAGAGAACTTTACTTGCAGCCAAATAATTCTCTTTTAAGTTATTTTACTGATTTAATGTGAACTTACCTTAAATATGTAGATTGTGCACTGACTCACACATCATTTCTCTTGAATTTCCACAGGCAGTATATTTTTGAGTGAAATATATTTGAGTCTTAAATATTAACTTAATTTTGATGAGATGCTCACCACTTGAGTGAAAAACTGAGCCAATGCTTTGTAATCAGGGAGTGGCATGGTCTAGATAATCACTATATCTTTAAGTAACTAATAATCCTGTAGTGACTGAATATTCATTTTCACTATGTACAAATAGTGTTGTTAACATTCTTAGCAAGCAGTGTTCACCTCTTTGATGGTTTGAGAACAACTGTGGAAACATCAGAATGTTTCAAGCCATGCTTTTTAAAAAAAAAAAAAAAAAAATCCCTTTCTTTTACTATGTAGATGGAAAAGGTTGAAGCAGATCTAAGCAGATCAAAATTGCTCCGGGAAAAGCAATCCAAAGAATTCTCCTGGCAATTGGAAGAGCTCAAGCAAAGATACGAGCAACAGGTCAGTCGGTTGGCTCCTTCGGGTGGAGGGGAGGAGGGACATCTGTTCTTGCAGGTGTAGGTCAGTTCCTGTGGCAGGCTTAATTGTGTTCTTGCTGTTCTTTGTACAAAGACAAAATCTATAGGTATGAGGAGTTTATATGATGAGGGATGAAGGGGGAAGAGTCTACATAGAAAATATTTTTATCTGCTCATTGTAATCCTTTGTACCTCTGACTGTCAAATTGTTTCCCAGGCTTACAGATGGCAACACCTATTTTCATAATAGCTAGATGAAATTATTTAATGTGTTATCTGTTTTTCTTCTTGTCAAGAAACAGCATTTTAGTCTTCTTATCATTTTTAACATGGGGAGTGTGCAGATGAATGCTTGTTTTGGCCCACTGATAGTGATTTTCTTTATTGTAATGTAATTTCAGGGTTGGGAAATATTCAGGAAACATTTGGGTGGAGACAAGAAACTTGAGTTCAGTAGTGTTGTGAAGTGTAAAGCAGAAAAAAAGAAATAGAAACAGACAAATTATTGCATGATATAGACTTGAGATCTACACAGCTGAAGCAGCCCATCAGACACTTGTGTAAGGTGGTACTTTGTCTTGAAACTAAAGTGGTGCCTGCTGGGTAACACCTGTTAAAGGATTGAAAATTTTTAATTACTTTATAGCAATGATACAGCTATTCCATAAGCTTTAAGTTCTCTTATCAATGTTTTTGCATGGATATAAGTTTACATTTCCACCAGGGAAGTGTAGTTTCATTTCTGTTTATCTTCTGAGCTGGTAAGAGGATGAAATACTGCAGTTGGCTTGTGGTACGAGATCTGCTCTGGTCCATCTGGACGGGGCTTTTTCAAGTAATTAAGGAACAAGATCACTTTGGTAGGTGTTGAGAGACCTTTGCCTGTGCTTGGGAGGAACAATAGTGTGTTTTGTGCATGGTGCTCTGAATAGAAGACAGTTTGTTGGTTCAGATCAAAATATTTTCCTTATCCTCACTCGCAATTGTCAGCATTACAAATTGGGTTGCCACCTGACAAAGGGTCAGAAGCTGTCCTGTGTAATAGTGAGGTACACCTACACAGGTGTTTTGTTTAACTGGGTGATATTATTTATGATTCTTGGATTTAATGATCCAGGAATAGTCTGGTACGCAGAGATATTGGGGGGCTTTGTTTCATGCTTGCATTAAAGGTGAGGAAGTTTGACGTGTCAATTAAAGGACACACTTGAGGGGTGGATGGGGGGAATTGCTGGGGTTAGTTGGGCATCCACCTTAAGGTGGAATTTTTAATGGAATCTTATGTTCACATCATTTTAGTGGCATGGTTGGTTCGCTTTTTTCTTTACAGTTCTCATAATTTGTGGTGCATCTTTAAAGCCCAAAGTAATCATTTATTCGAAGATTTTATTCCCAGGTTTAGGAACGTGATCTATAGAGATAAACGCTAACTTGCAGTTCTTCAGGTGTTATGACGTTCCTGTTCCTACCTACAAATGGTAATTTTTTCTTTCAGTATACATGACAAGAGCTACCAAGCCACAGATATAATCTTCTGCCAAATACTCGGCTGATTTTGCACATTAGAGGCAAATAATAATGTCTAGTAGTGTCATGGTTTCATTTTTATTTGTTTTCTTGTATCATCATGCCTATTATATTCAGACTTTGTGGAGACTGGATCAAAAAACCCCCCAAAAAAACAAGAAATGAATGTGATAGTTAAAACTTTTTTTGTGATTTTTTTTTTTTTTTTTTGTGAATCTTTTTACTTTGGTATTCTGTAACAAAGTTGATATTGTGGTGAGCATCAGTGAAAGCCTTTTCTACTAAAAGGAGATGTTTACTGCTTCACTTTTTATTTAGGATAGCTATTTTCTACTGTAAGAACAGCTAGACTTTATGGAACTTCATTGAAACCCAAGGAAGGGGTTTCGGCACTAAACAGCTAAACAATGAGAGCCTCAGAAGAATTTTCAGAGGAATCCTGTTTATGCCCTTTTTAAAAATTTATTTCTCTTCGTACTTCATTTGGAATGTTCTTTGAAGGCTTATGAACATGAAAAATATGTGACCCTTCCTGCAGATTGCGATGGGTTATCATTGGAAACGACGTTCTTTTTGTATTGTCATTTCTGCAGTACAAAGCTCCTTCAGCCCAGCCACAAAGCAGTATGAGCTCAGTTCTTCCACTCTTAAAATTTCCTTTCAGTAGTTCCAGCTTCTGTTTCTCTGTATTATTCTCTATTTATGCTTCAGAACTTCTAACCCATTTTTAAAGCAGACTTGTTTTACTGCATATTTCTTTGGTTGTTACTTGGGGAGGAATAGACTGATTTATACTGTTTAAATAGAGCAGTAAATTAGAATTGGTGGTGCATTTCAGCAGGGCTTTAGCAGACTTCCAGTCGGGAAATACACCCACCCAACCGAAAAAACAGATACTTTAGCTACCTAAGAATTGTAGTAATAGCTTTGAGATGTTCTGCCTCAAGTGTCTGAATCTAATTGTCAAATGGAATTTGCACACAAAGGGAAGAAAAATTGACCATATATATTTTGCGTAGGTTGGCGTGGTGAGTGGCAGAGGTAGCGCTGACAGCATACTGGACAATTCAGTTGCCCACAGATTTAAGCAAGTTTGTAATGAAGAACCAAGTGAACCGATGTGTTTATCTAGTTCTCCAATCTGAGAAACATCTTGAAAGTGTAGGAACTCGAGAGCTGCGGTTTTACCTCTCTGCTTTATACGAGTGATTGTCTGTGCTTCACGGGACTCTTCTTGAATATTGATTTCAAAGAGATTACTGGTGTGAACATGGGCTGTTAGTTGTGGTGCTGAAAGACTGCTCTGCCTGCAGATTAGACACTGATCTATATTGATAATTTATCTGATATTTATATCAATAAATAACCTGATACATATTGATATATATAATTATTTTTTTCCTTGAAAAACAATTGGGAAAAAAACATAAAAAAGCGTGGCAGCTAATATTTTGCTAACTTTTCAAATACGTTGGAATCCATTGATGAAGCAAAGAAGAAATTTTGGATCGTGCAGTATTTGGTTTCAGCTGTCATGTGTCACTCCTGCTTCCAGCTTCATCTGATTCAGTGCCACTTTCTTTTGAAGTATCCACTGAGAACTCTGTTAGAGAGAAAGTGGTGGCTTTTTTTTCTTTAAATATACTTTAGCTCAACTTTGTTCTACTTGCAGCTGTTAGATTTGAAAGTATATTTTGAAGAAAAAAATAACTCCAGCAGCACCACAGTTCCTATCTGCTGGGAGCAGCTGCTTTCGGCACTTCAAAGCCAGTGGACACCACAGCGAAGGCCTCAGCCTTTCCTGCCTTTGAAATGGTTGCAGTATCTATAGTTGGGCTTTATGGCACAGTCAGCACAGGAAAAAAGGTTGTTTGGTTTTTTTGCACCCCCTCCCTTTTTTTTTTTTCTTTTTTTTTCTTTTTTCCTACTTTCTAATTACATCCTCGGTTTAGCACATAACACCTGAGAAGTGATTCTGCTGAAATAATTTTCCACAAGCCCAAATGTTTGAAAGAGCATGTGCCCAAACTGTCCAGTAATGAATTTAGGCATGCAAAATCAACAGAAAAGTTAATGAATTTGCTTTTTTCCCCACATATCCATGTTCTTTGGGCACTTTCTGAGAGCACGTCTCTTGGGGTGAGCTGTGGTACCATGGCAGAGCTCTTCTGGTAGAACACAGCTTCACACAGGGACGTTTCACAGCAGTATCAAGTACATACTTCTGTTTGTTTCAAGCAGATTTTCTTAAATTGTCATGGATGGAACATTTTCAGTGAACTTTTTGGAGACCTTAATGTTTAAATGGATTTAGCTTGTCCTTTTATTAAAAGAAATAATAAAAATTACTATGATCACTGTTACACCCATTTTTTTGTGCTATAAATAGTTGCTGAAGTGCTATGACTAAGTGATGGTGAAGAAGCTGAGATTCAAGACTAGTAAGAGAACCAAAGTTCTGAAATATCATTTTCCTACTGTTGAGAACACACTGTGAAAGTTGATGAATCATTATCATATCAGGATGGCATCACTTGCTGAGTTATGGACATATTTTCTGAGATTAGATGCCAACCTGAATGTATAAATAAGTCTTTTTTTTTGTTTCGTCTTTTCTTTAATAGTGTTTATTCCATTTTAAAGTGATAACTATTTGTGCTTCCATAGCAAAATGGAAAGCTATTACGTGATAGCTGAAGAATCTCCCTGTATCTCAGGAAATCCGTCCTTGTGACATTTATTGTTGGGTTCTGACTTCTGTAAAACTTGTGAAGGAATAATTAGAGTTATTGTCTTGTCCTATTTAGCCAAATAGGAAAGAAACAGGACACTTAAGAAATGTTTTACTAAGTATTTAACAAAATCACTTTGACATGATGTTAGAGATGAGAGAAATAGTCTACACTTTTAAGTCTGGAGCAAGACCAAGGTGTGGTTGAGCTTAAATTTGCCTTTTATATTAAAGAAAGAGAGGTAAAGGAATGCAGAATCAGTTGGTTAAAAGTGAAAAAGGTATGGCTGTAATCTTACCTGCCAGCGGCAAGGACAAATATCCAAGGTGGTGTTGGGAAATTGTTCTTATTTTAGCAGTGTGCTGCAGCAGAGGAAAATATTCTTAGGAGGAGAGGAGTATTCTTTAGATCTTTTCTGTATTTCTTTTATAACTTTCTAGTGAGGTTAATTAAAGAAGAGAGTGAGGTTATTTCAGGTAAAATTAATTTTGTAATCATAACCATTTTTTTATACGTAAGTGTATATATTTCAAAACAAACATCTTATTCAGTGCTAGCAGTGGCATATAACATTAAGGTTCCAAGCACAGTCTCATTCTCAGTTGCTTAAAAATGTTCTAAAGTATTATTCAGGTTGACATTTAGTGGTTGGGCATCTCTCCTGCTAATTTTTAGCTGTTTAACTTTGTGCCAAGAGATTTCACCGGTGTTTGGATGATCAAGG